ATGGTCTGAAAGGGACCTCCTAGAATAGATAGCGACTCCTCTCTTCTCTATATGTGAAGCTGGATAAAGTTTACAACTCTTGCCCTGGACACTAAGAAACGCAGGAGTTTCATGTTAAATTAATGATTGTTTAGAGTCTCCGTAAACAGTCATATATAATAATCAACAAAAACCATATAATTCACATGATCGTGTATCACTTGTTACTTAATCATTAAATATCTCTATAACTATACTCGATTTATACTATAAAGTTACCAGTATAGACTGGCTTTTGCATGTAACCTTCTTCCAAGCTGTAGCTGAAGCAGTAGGAGGTGGTTTTTTTACCAGCTGTGGCCCACTGGAATACAGCCTCATGAGTACAAACTTAAGTGATGTGGTCCACATCTAAAGCATGATGGACCTTGGATGTCCAAGTGAAAAAGCTTCCTTACAGCTGTTTGTCAACAGCTGGAAAACAACTGCTGCTGCAGACCTGCAGGCTCAGCAGCCCAGTTGAATCTAAACATGACTCCTGTTGAATCAAAAACAAATCCAGAGAGTCTCATTTCCACAATATTTTTTTCTCAGGAGAGTACTCTCATTTTCACAAATCCATTCATTTCTAAGCAGCAGCATAAATTCTGAGATCACTCTCCCTTGAACAACATCATTACTCTAATTTTATAGACACTGTAGAAGAATTTCTTGCAGCTCACATTTCCTTTCCAGTTACTCCTGTCCCCTTGATGTTCATTTCAGCTGTGTCTCAGATCCACAACATCAGGAGCCCTGTATATTGATTGTCCCCATGCACGTTTGTCCTGGTATAAGGGCCCAAAGCACAACAAGATTGTAGTTTCCACTTTAAAAATCCACTGTAGGAGATTGGTTTAATACAGAGGAGAGTATTTACACCAATGAAACTAACATACCAAACATAAGTTAGCTCACTATTTTCATGAGTTCCCACTGAAATTAGAAGCAGCAGTGCAAGGGTGAGGTTGGCACTCATAAGAAGCAGGCTGAGGTCTGGAGGAGTCAGACCTACTTCTGCTCATCAGCTCATTTGCTTGTGAAACCACAGCCAGAATGTGAAGTCGCGGGATAAGGTCGAGCCAATCTAATGCCACATAACCTTTTATTTTAGGTTTATTTTGTTGTAATAGTACATAGCGCATCTTTGGGCTATGTTCTTCATTTCGTAGTGCATTGAACATAACTTCACAACTGCCAGTAGTTTTGCTTATTAGTTGGCATGAATGAAAAAGTGTGAGAATACTTTTCATAAGTAAGTATTTCTATAGATTTTACTGGCTACGTGTGTCTTTCTGCCCCTTCACAGGAGTACAGGCCTCTCACTGGAACAAGCCAGGTAATGCAAAATAAAAAGTGAATTCAAATACACCAGGTTAATACTATAACTGGATTATGCAGATCAGGCAACGTGGGAGAACAAGGGGTTAACAGGATTGTGGAAGAAGCAGAGGCCAGGAGAAGCAGCAGGAACAATGGCAGAAGATGGCCCATAAGCATCTCCAGACCCGTAAACAATGCCTGGCGCCTCTGACTGATGGAGGGGAATTCTGCCCCCTGGCATCTGGGGGTTGGAGGGGGTGTGTCGGTTGGGAAAGAAGACACAGTGGTACTATATAAGCTGCCTGTTGGTTATAATAAATGATTCTGGTTGTATCACCGACCGGGGTCCGTGCCCTCATACGCTACAAGGCAATAAATAAATGTTTCTCAGCAAATAAAGAACTGAGAAGTTATGAAAAGCCTTACAACACCACTGTGGAGAAGCATCTCATTGGAGAGGAAATGAACACCCTCACAAAGCCATGAAATCAATTGCTGTGTAATGCAGAGCTCCAGCTTGCCCCCAGGCCACCCACTGACCCACAGAAGGTCGGATCCAAAGCAGCAAGGGTTTGGTAGGGAGGGTTGCCCAGCCGTGCTTGAGGGTGAGTGGGCAGGAGCTATAGGCAATAAAGAAAAATAAATGGGCTGGATAGGCAGTCAGGCTCAAGTGCTTCTGAAGCAATTGGATTGTGGCAACTGTGGTGGCAACTCAGGGATCCCAGCATCTGTGATGGGCATGGGCTGTGGATGCATCATGGGGGAGTTCCCCTTCCAGGCGTGGTACCACAGCCCCTTCAGGGACAAGTGCCTGGAGTGACCTAGGAGGAACTGTTGGCTGCTGAAAGGACTGTTGGCTGCTGGTGTCTCTGCCCTGGGTGGCCTTTCCAAGGTAATGGCTTTTTAGTGTCTCTTTTTTTTTCCCCAGGAGAAGCAGCCATATACCACTGCCAGACTCAGCCCAGAATTCCCAGATTCTTTGCGGGGGCTGCCCCAAACACTGCTTTAAAGTTAAGGGCCCCTCTCTGTTAAGACATGTAAATCTGAAGAGATTCCAAAAGAATCAATCTTCTCTGTTTCTCACATAAGTATGGGGTCTCCACAGAGCAAAAGAGAGACAGACAGAGATGGAGAGAAGGAAATGATGCTGGAAGCAGAGCAGCATGTCCAGATCCCACACCAGGCACCTTGACTCCACTCATCACAAGCTTAAGAACAGGTATAAGTTTTCCTCTCTTTACTCAGATGAGAAAGCAAAGCTGTCCCCCTCTTATTCTCTCTCACTTTCTCTCTCTCTGTTCTTATCACTCAGAGACTTCTGTCTTTAGTCACGTGTCCTTTGCTGTAAGTTTCTTTAGAATGGAACCGGATAACCTCCCAGGTTCTGGAGAGCCCTTTGCCAGAGGAATTCCTGGGGATATAGCCCCTGTTTGATGGAATTGAGAGCTGCCGAATTGACAAAGACCTGGCTAAAGATATGCTGCTTTGTTCTTAGTAGAAATCCTGTTTTACCAGCAATGATTTTTAAGGAGCCTGTAGCAAACTGTGGATGCTTGTACAGTCATGTTACAGTATTTTATTTTCTGTCAAATGAGACTGAATTCAACTATCATGATTTGTGTGTCTCACTGGGAATTTGGACCTTAAGCCTGTGCACTTGCTACCTAGGGCTTTGGAGATACCAAACATGTAGGCACGATTTGAACTGATTTCCCCAAAACAGTTTCATTTTTGCACTTTAAATGTACTTGTGGCTCTTAGTCACATGCAAAAGCCCGACAAGGTGCTTTCAGTTGATGATCTACTGGGGAAAGATGGGGCTCTGAGGATTTGGTGGGACTGCTCTGTATTAGAGGTGGCCTCTTTTACTGAGCTAGTATCTCCTGTAATGCTAGAGATAGCCATGGTCTTCTAACGAGCAAGTAGCTCTTCTTTTACCAGAACGTAAGCAGCTCATTAAAGGCCAACTAACACAATTCATCCTTAAATGAGTTATCTCAAAGCACAGGGTAAACCATCCTGCCTTGATAAAGGAAAAACAAGGTGGGGAGGCAAGGTCACACAGTGAAGATATGATTTACTTGTGTCTCATGGGAACAAACTAATAAAATCCCAGTGTTTTCCTGGATACATAATATCATTGAAGATAATTAGAGAGGCACTGCCATCAAAATAGTACAAATCAACAGCAGAACATTTTTCTCACGCAAAGTGCATTTAGTTAGATCAGGTGTAAAGGAGAAGCAGCCCAATAATTTAAACACAGATTAACCAGCCAATTATTCCGTGTAAAAGCATGTTTACCTACCCATCCAACCAGTTAAAGCTTTTGCACCCTGTTAACCAAATATCATACATTGCTTGGCACATATGCTAAAATGTATAGATATGGCCTCATAGTCTCATAGTCCTTTACTGTCTCACTTAGCTAATAAGCAAAATTACTGGCTGGTGTACAGTCATACCAGGTCTGTTATCCACTGTGATCAGGTGGTCCCAAGAAGAGGTCCTAGTTCTCTCTCCTCCCTGATGACTCAGTTCGGAAAGGGGTGACTGGAAATTTCCTAAAAGTGGAGCTTCTTATTGCATCTTACAGTGGAAATGTATAAGAGGTTATATTGAGAGCTGACATCAGTGCAGTCTACTGCAAATTATTCAACCTCTGTGCACAAGAAGGTAGAAGACATTGGCAGCTGTTTTGAGGCCAAGTGGGAGACAGGCTCCTACTCTGAGGAGTGAGGCTGCCCCAGATACAACTGTGGCACGACAGCCTCACAGTCAAGCAACACACCTGGGGAGTCGTCTGGTGGGAGTTCCGGTGTCTTCATCAGGGTGGGGGATCGTCTTGTGAGTCGTCCTCAGGTTAAACTTCTGAACTCTTCCTAATTTGGGTAGCTTCTTGGTGTACTTGGCAAGGTCGGAGTGACCTTGGTTCATCCTAAAATTGCTGAAGCTACTACTTCATGTTCTGGTGTTCTTTCCTATCAACTTGTTCTGTTCTCTCAGACAATTTATTACCTTCGTGATTTGGTAAGATCTAGCAAATGTAGCCTGACTGACCACAAACGGGGCCTGCAACTACTCAGAGCTATGACAAGTGACAAGAGAGGAAGGCAGGAATGTAGGGAGTAGTCCTGAGACCAACACGATGATGTCTTGAAGCAGCAAAACAGTGTTGTCGACCTTGTTGGGAGATAAGGAGTTAAAATGTAAGCTGGGTTCCTTCTTTAAATCCCCTATTTCTCGAAGACTGCTTCCTTTTGAGCGGTTTCAAGAAGCATTTCAACAAGGTACCACTCCTTCAAGGACAGATGCATTCACCATACAGGAATGAGACAGAGAGCACCAGCATGATTTTGCCCCTCAGATCCCTACAGAGGTCAAGGGATTGTAATATAAAAGAGCTGAGTATCTTTTTGCTGCCTAAAGTCTGAAGGGGCTTCCCATGTAGAAGACAGGTAAGCGAGCATGTCTCTGGAAAGCTGTGATTACCTACCCGAGTATCACTTCATAAACTTTGGGAACTATCTCTGCCAGACCTTGTGTGCCTGGGTTTCTAGTTAGCTCTTTTCTTTAGAATATGAACCGATACCATGTCATGAGTTGATCCCATTCAATTATTGTCAAGTTTCTGGCTAAAAAAAATTGCATAGGCTTACCCACTGCTGGATCCATCACTGATCAGTCTTCCCCTAGACCTTCCTTCCACACACCAGCTCCCCACATCTTTTCCTCAGCTGTAAAGACAAACAATCTATATTGTTTCAGCGCACCTCAGAAATGCAGCAGCAGGCAATAGTGCACAAATTTATTGTTTGGAAAAAAACAAACAAGCTTTCAGCACTTCACATGCTCCCTTAAAACCCCATTGCATTATGCACGTGGGATCCCCCCACATGCAGCAGACAGCACTGCAGTGAACAATGTGTCTGCCTGCACAGATATGCCCCAAACCCTTTCAAATGTGCAGAAACTGAGAAAACAACCCGTATCTTGGATAGAAATACCATATGGAGAGACTACATATTTTCTCTCTGGTGTAAGCTTGGGAAATACAGTCTTAAACTCTTTCAAGACTAAGGGAAAAAAGGGAGTATGGAGGCTTCATTCTGTTCAAATAGATGGGTATTAATATTTCCTTTACTATTTTGATATACAAAACAACTAGTTTTTCCTAGAATGTGAGGCTTAGCAAAACCAAATGGAATGGCAGACACTTTCTTTGTGGTAGCATGCTGAATAAAGTGATTAGATGTGGCTATTTGAAAAAAAAAATAACTGCACGTTTTGTGCTTTGTTATGGAAAGATTACTACAAGGAGTGCCCCTGAAAGAGTAGAAAGTCCCTCACAAGATAGCTTGAAAGCTATTGAAAGCAATCAAGCTCGGGTCTCTTTTGTTTGAATGACAGATTGCATTTTGAAGTGAACCATTATTAGAAAATTCACCATTATTCAGAAATTTCTCAGGTGCTTAACTGTCATAGCAAAGTCACAATCTCCATCTTCCTCCCATTTTACCTCAATCAGATGTTTAATTCTAACTAGAACTACTGCAGGTCAGATGAGCTAGAACAGGCAAAAGAAAGTGCATCTCGAATGCAAAGTCAAGTATTTATTGTAAGTATGATTAAACCTTGATCTAATCAAAACGCACCAGAATCAGAATGATATGGGGTTGGAAGGAACCCCTGGAGAGCATCTAGTCCAACTCCCCTGCCAAAGCAGGTCGCACAGGAATGTGTCCAGGTGGGTTTTGAATGTCTCCAGAGACAGACTCCATCACCTCCCTGAGAAACCTATTCCAGTGCTCTGCCACCCTCAAAGTAAAGTTCCTCCTCATGTTCAGGTGAAACTTTTTAATAATAACCAACAAATGGTTACTATTAGTGTAGCCAAATTACAGTGATATTCTTATGCATAGTCCAAATTTTCTATCAAGTACAGATAAAGTCTCACCAAGAACGTCATTAAAATCGTCACTAAAACTAAAATTGTAACACAAAGGCTTCCTAGCATTAAATCCTTTTCCTTGGTGTTACGTTCTCCCCTCACACTGCCCATCTGGCTCCTAAGGTTGCTGACTTCAGCCTGAGAAAGGGTTCTGGCAAATTGTCAGCCTTCCAGGCGCTTCCTTCATTGGAAGGATACAATGTTGATGGTGGATATAATAAGTAATTTAGCAAAACTTTTTGCTTCAGCTAAAATAGATGTGTGCTTGCTTGCTATGGCTTCTGCTAAAATAGGCATGTGCTTGCTATGCGGTTGGGAAATGGATGGCGTTAGATAAAATATCAGACAGCAGCAACAGTGGGAAGTACCAAACCCTTTGCAAAACAAGGGGTGGTGTGGTTAGCTAAGGTAACCACAGAGGTGTTCGTCATGTAAAGAATGGAGAAGCCGCAAGAAGGACATGGTGATGAAGACTTTGAGCCTTCCTCCGACCACCTCCAGGAAGACCCCTGAGGAAGCACAGCGCCTGCCTCCCTAGGAAGCAGGAGGTGTGTTAGGAGGTGGGTTGCGTTCCGAGAACTCATTGATTATACTAATTATTTTACAAGAAAAACCATGAATATGTATGAGTAATAAGGAATAAAAGCAAGCATTTGTAAGAAGAGAGTGAGCCATGGGAGGAGAAATCCCCTGTGTAGCTCCCAGCGCTATAAATAAATGTTCTTTGCTCCACAGAATTTGTCCCTGACTAAAATTCAATACAGTGAGCGCGTTTCTCACAATTGGGTGGCTCGTCTGGGATCTCTGAAGCCTATATCCAGAGCCTCGGACGGGTGAGTAAGCTGGGACAGATGGCATGCCATTGCTGATTGCAGCAATTCTCGGGTTCTCCCCGCCCATGGTGATGGACCAGTGGTGACAGCCCAGCAAAGGGACACATGGACCAAAGAGAGGTCCCTGGGATAACAGCAGCAGCCGATAATACTTGTGCATAAGACCTGGGTAAGAAAATTGACTGTTAAATATTACTTGTGTGGCTGGGTGATGGGGGGTTGAGAGTGGTGAGAGAGAGACATGGACCAGATCTGTGAAGAGAGTGCGGAGTCTTTCTAACCACGGTTCTGTATCTCCACAAGGAGACCTGATGGTGAAGAGACGAAGGGAGAGGCTGGAGTTGAGAGATCCCCTGGGGAAAAATGGGACAAGGGAAAAGAGGGGATTTAAGGGAAAAGCCAATCAGGAAATTCCAGAAATGCCTCCAGACAGTCCATTAGGGAGGATGTTGTTACAATGGGGGCAGGAAGGAGAGTCTTGCACACAGGGTAAGGACAAAGCAAAGATGATCAATTACTGTATGTTCAAATGGACCAAAGAGCCCATGAGGCCAGACAAGTTGTATTGGCCAAAGTATGGTTCTATGGAGGGATGGCTGTGTCAAGCACTAAATGCATATGTCAACTCTAAAGAACCGTTCGATCAGGAAGAGAGCGAATATGCAGCACGTTGGAAAGGGGATGCAGGAATTTTAAATTGGGGATACAAAAGGAGAAGAAGGATGACCAGGGACCAGTTTGGGATCCTCTTGAATGCTTACCTCCTCCATACCCCCTTACCTCCCCAGGCACAAGGGAGTCGCAGGCCCCCGTTAGAAGGGAAAGCCAGGGAAGATGGAGGCGGGAAGTAGGAAGGTCCATAGTGGAAGAAAATGAGGAGGTGACAGGACCAATCAGGCTGCATCCTTTACGAGAGGTCCTAATGCCAGGAGTTCAGAATGGGGTAGGATTTGTGAACGTGCCCCCAACCAGTACAGAAGTCAGGAACTTTAAGAAAGAAATGAAGAAATAGTTGGAAGATCCTCTAGGTTTGTCAGAATAATTAGACCAATTTTTAGATCCAAATGTATATACTTGGGAAGAAATGCAATCCATCATGGGAACTTTGTTCTCCCTCGAGGAAAGACAAATGATTGAGAATATGGGAAAGAGAAAATGTTCATGGGGTTGCGGGGGACCAAAAGTTACCCCTAAAGAGATCCTACTGGAATCAAAATGACCCCGCAGGGAAAAGAAACATGTCTGATTATCGGACATTAATTATAAGGGGAATTAAAGAGGCAGCTCCGAGGGGGTTGAATGTGAGCAAAGCCTTTGATAGTAAACAAGGGAAAGAGGAATCTCCAATGGAATGGTTGGAGAGGCTCCAAAGGAATATTCAGCAGTTTTCTGGGATTGACCCAGAGGTGGGTCAAACTTTTACCTGAGCAAAGTTATCCTAGCACTCACATTCTGCACCAAGCTGTTGGCTGGGAAGAACAGGGTCATTCAACAGTGTTACTGAGTGAGCAAAGAGACTGACCACGATTATTTTAATAATTTAGGTAGACTATAACATGTAAGTACAGTAACTCAAGGACAACAGAAAACACAATTATGTCTTAGCACAATTATAGTGAATTAAGGAACAGAGCTGAGTATGGCTTGAAGATTTTGTCAGAAATGGGCTGAGTTTTGCTTCAGCTAATTGATATCTTTTTGTTAGTGTGTCTGTATTGATGGAGGAGGCTCGGTGATAGTGGAGTCTCATCCATTGTATCAAACTAATCCTTAGAAATGCCCTGGGGCTGTCCAGGGATCCTGGGAATTCATCTAGGTGAAGAGAGCCAGGCTGATAAGACTGATAAGTGGACAAAGGACTGTGAAGGCTGACTAGACTGTGAAGACTGATAAGTGGATGAAGGTCATCTAGAGGGTGACTGATGAAGATGAGGATAGGACCACCAGGGTGCTTGTAACTACTAACACTGGACAGTAGATGATAACAAAGACTGAAACAACATGTAGCGTAATCAACTAATCAAAGGTGTGTTTAGGATAATGATTTTGTAGAGTAGGTGTGTGTGCCTTGTAAGGTAAAAAGATGTAAACTAGATCTGTAATAGATCAGGCAGTCGGGAAGAATGTGAGCTCCAACTTCTCAGCCAATGAGAAGAGAGACAGTAACTCAGGTGGCCGGGATAAGGGTATAAAATATCTAAAAGCTAAAAGATTGGGGTGCCTCTGCTTTGAGATGCACTCAATTCAGTGCTGTTTCATACAATAAATTTTTATACCTTTGCTTCAGTGACTTTGTCCTCTTTAAATTCTAAGTGTGAGCTGGTGTTTCTCACAGTTTGCTTGACACAACTAAGCTGCTCCTAGCATAAGCATGAGTTAGAAAACCAAAAAATCAGAGTAGTTGCTAACTTAGCTGACTGCAAACAGGGGCCTATCTCTCTGCAGGGGTATGGTATGTACCCAGATAGCTGCCTTTAAGCCCGTATTCAAATAGCATTGTATAGGTCAGCACCTTGTTATCTTTCAAGAGGAACTTATCTCTGAGAACAGGACGTGTCAAGACCACCAAGGCATGCAGAACCAGCCTAAACCAGCCCTGCAGCTTTGTCAGCAAGAACGGAGAAGTAGATGACTGCAGATCACCTAAGGGACACAGTGATGAAGAGGAATGGATGAAGTGAGCTACCACCAGAGGTCTTTGAAGACTACCTAGAGACTGTAATACTCATGTGGCAGTGGGTGGCAACATATGATAATGAATTCTCAGAAGAAGAATGAATAGGTTAATTACTTCTCAGAAATCTTATGAATATGTACATTTAACTTGTATATAAGCCATGTAACTAATCACTGTCAGGTGCCCATTCAGAGGAGCGATTCTCTGTGCGTCCAGTGCTGCAGTAGAGAATACCTGCTTAATAGTCATCCCGACTATTGAGTCCTGATTTCAGCTTTCATGGCATCAATAATATCATTATCTCATAGATATCTTGTAGTTAAAGTGAGATAACTGTGGGATGCCTACAAGACAGCTATTAACAAGAACAGACAACAATTTATGAGATAACTATAATAAAGGCAGTGCATAGCTATAACAAAAATAAGGGAAAGATGGAGAAAACAAGGTAAAGAAAATTATATACAGTTTTATAATGTTGTGGTTTAGCCCCAGCCAGCAACAAAGAACCACGAGGTCTTTTCACCTACACCCTCCTCCCTCCAGCAGTGGGATAGGGGAGAATCAGAAGAGAAAGACAAAACATGTGGGTTGAGATAAAGGCAGTTTAACAGAACAGCAAAGGAAAGAGGAAAAAAAAATAAAATAACACTGACAGAGGAACATACAAAACAATTAATGTACCACCACTCACTGACCTACTGACCGGTTGCCAAAGCTCAGCCCACTTCCAAGAGGTGATTTCTGCCCCTTTTCCCTCCAGCTCCCCAGCTATATAGTGGGCAGGGTGTCACATGGTATGGAATGTGCCTTTGGGGTTGTGTCCTGTCCCAGCTCCTTGTGAAGATTAACCCTATCCCTACTAGAACCAGGACACACCGATTTCCTTCAAATGGCATAATTACACTGGCAGAATCACTCTGCTCTTGGTGTAATTGAGGCTCGTTAGTTTCTGCCAATACAGCTGTGTCAGTAAAAAAGAATAAAGAAAAGCCCCATTGTGATGAACACTGCTACAGGGCAAAATAAATTAATCTAGGCCTGGCCTTAGGTCTTATCTTTGCAACATATTAGGCCTACAACATGTCCATGAGTTTGGCTGTGAGAACTGTAATAGAAAGGCTAAGATTGGTGTGAACGAGCATGAATGGGAATTCCTGGGTGTGGATGTGGCCAAATGCACCTACAAAGGAAAGGGACCTTAACAGCTGTTAACAGCACCCAACCAGCAGGTCATCAAGACCCTATCACATCCAGTTTCACAGGACATTGAGTCAAAGGGCTGTAATGAGCTAGAAATGGTACAGAAACATATCAATCACTGTAAGATCCAAAACTGCAAGACGACATACCCAAACCCTGCCTGTGGTCACCAGCCTCAGAACCACTCCTCCCTATCATCATGACTGATCTCAAATACAACATCTGGACACAAACATTGTGGTGCCTGACTGCTGGTCAGGTAGCTCCAACACTCATGTCCTGCTACCTTGATTCTGGGCAGGCTCCTTGGACACCACACACACTCTGGTGCATGTGTAGGTGAAAAAAATTAGATTTGTTTTCAGTTTGGTTTAAATAAAGTCACCAACTACAAGGGCTCAGAAGGGTATTTCTTACATTGTTCATAAAATATTACACCAGTATTTCCTGTGACCAATCTTGAGGTCAATCCAATCTTTTAACTGTCTTCAATTTAATTGACTTCAGAGGAGCCCTTTTCCATCCTGATGACACATCCATTATTCCTACAAATGAAGTTCTACATTTCCCCCTCAATGTTAGTTTTAACACATTTCATGTGCTTTCTCCATCATTATCTCACAACTTAAGGTAAGACATTAAGGTAAAAAAAAAAACTGAAACAAATCAGGAAAGACACTGAAATCCTTTATACCAGACAAAGAAACAATATGAGAGTGTGACTCTTTATTTCCTTTTTTGGAATATAGGTCATCTTCAACACATTGCACGAAGCATTCACAGGAGAGTAGCCACACCACTTTGCTATGACTTACCATATTTCCTAAGTCATTGTAATAATTTGATACTCAGCTTTGTCAGAGATTCATCACCTAATTGTCCCTCTCTGACCTTTTTCCACTGAAACCCATTGCAAGCTGATCTCATCAGGTACTCAGTTCCCATGGTATTCAAGATAAAAATTTAATGTTAATGTATTGATAAGCCTTTGTTAAGAGAGTTAAATGGGCTAGGAAACCATTCAACTGTGCTGTACCATACCTGTGTGCCAGAGTGATATTCCCAAAAGATACCCATGTTGATTTCTATTGTGGATGGAAAAGGAATAGAAGTTTATTAGTGTAACAGTTTAAATGCTCACATCCATACTTCTGATTTGCTCTTTGGATCGCTGTATCTTAACCCAGTTTTGTATTACCTAAAATATCCTTGAACGTGTTATCCCTCACTGTAAACTGCAGAAAAAAAATATAAAATGTATCCTCAATGTTTCCTGTTTGTGCTTATCTGTATAAAGGAAATAAACTGCTAATGGAACTGACCCACTCTCAGGCTCACACTGCATCTTAAGTGCTGTCATACAGGGCTGTGACCTGATTTGCAGTGCCTGCCAAGGGAGGGCAACTGCAGGCAACAGTTCTCTATACATATCATATCTCTATATAATCAGGTTTGCAACAATAAAAGAAAGTATATATTTCCAGAAATAAGAGAAAAGTGTTTGCAGGCTGAAGCATTACAGTGAAAATGCCTATATTTAGTCAGTGAGATATGTTTGTGGCTTCTGTCACAGCATTCACGCTCCATCCAACTGCTTTTGTTACCATTCTCTTAAGAGGCTATGTATTATACTTTTACTTGATACACTAATCAAACTAGAGCATTTTAAACAAAGCATCTCTCTCCTCCAGGCTAGCTCTTGCCTGAGATAATCTCACTCAAACTGAAAACTTGACATATTAACCCCAGAATAGTCAGTAAAAGGTTTTATATGTAACATCCAGTAAAAAAAATAAGTAAATAGAATCATAGACTTGTCTAGGTTGGAAGGGACCTTTCCGATTGAGTCCAACCATCAATCTAACACTGACAAAAACCGTCATTAAACCACATCACTAAGAACTACATCTATAAGTTTACCAAGTAATCTTTTTTTTTTTACTTCACTAGGTCTAGTACATTCTGTATTTCTCTTCTTTTACTTGATGAAAGTAAAATATTAACATTTGTATATCAGCTATTAAATCATTATTTCTCCATGACCTCAATCTCTCTTGCTGGCCAGCTCACTCCAAAGGATGGTAGCGAACCAGAGCTAAGAACATGTGCTCTGGACTAAAACACATCAAGCCTGGGCTGCAGGAAGAGAGAGCACATGCACTCAGCAGAGCAGCACATGGAGGGAAAATATCAGGCTGCAATTTAAGCAAAAGAAACAAATCTCATCAGCACTTCAAATGTGGGTGCTGAAGGAAGATTTTTAAAATCCCTCTTGCCAGTTCCAGAGAGAGATTATGAGCATGCTTACTGAACAGGCATTTGTCTGGTTTGGTGTTGGCTTTTTTTTCTGGTTACTGAAAGCTTGGCAAAGTGGTATCCAAGAATCTCTCACAGTTTGCTACATATGAGGACAGATTAGGCAGTAGAATGGTTTAATCACCTAGAACTGGGGTTTACATAAGCATTGGTTGTTACATTGTTATTATTAGTGGTTTCTGGGAGGAAACATGGGGAAGTGAACCTTGAGAAGATTTCAACCTTCTGTAAACAAGAAAGGAAAAGCTTAGGGTTGCTGCAGAGGCACACATTTGATCCTGTTTATGCCATTAAAAGGCTAGATTTGACCACCAGTCTTGGAATTCTGTTACAAGGCAGTAAAAGAAATAAGCTCTGTCAAATTTGTGTTTGATATTTTTGAAGAAGGCTATTACAGACAGGAATTTTAAAAGTGTTTCATAGGAGCATGAAAATGCCTAGAGTGAAGTATCAATATTATAGTATCTAATAGCTAATAGATATTGGCATCACTTCAAGGGATGGTGACTCAACCACTTTCCTGGGCAGCCTATTCCAATGTTTGATAAGCCTTTTGGTGAATAATTTTTTCCTAGTATCCATCTTAAACCTCCCCTGGTGCAATTTCAGGCTGTTTCCTCTCATCCTATCACTTGTTACTTGGGAAAAGAGGCAAACTCCTACCTTTCTACAACCTCCTGTCAGGTAGTTGTAGAGAGTGGTAAGGTCTCCCCCAAGCATCCATTTCTCCTGCTCAATTGCTGACAGATTTCCCTGCCTTCCCAGATTTCCCTGTCCCCACCACCCCAAGCCCCTAGCTAAAGATAAGTGAAGGCTTTTCATCAAGGAAGGAAGAGTAAAAGGGAAAGTTTGCTCATCTGAGGGCTGAAGGCACTGAGACATATTGGATTTCCACACCTATTGGGTTCCATGGCAAAGGGTGAGAGGCAGAGCACAGCTGGAGCTGCCCAGAAGAATCCACCCTTGATCTAACAGTGAACTCAGTATATCAGTGTGCTCATATGAAGTTCAGACAATTCCCCACATTACTAGGTGTCAGTTGTTTGATTCAAGGTGACCCAGGCCCTACAGAACATGAATTAAAAGAGACTCCCAATTTTTAGCTATTGTAACCACACGTAATAACTGTTAAAAAAACAATTAAGATACTTAGTAGAAAAGGACTAATTAAAAACACCAAAACATAAACTCTGCTCTGCAACTCAATGATTACAGTTCCACTGATTAATCTTGCAAAACTACTTTCAGCAAAGGAGAATAATTTTATTTTAATGGGTGAATAAAATGTCTAACTTCACCTACTACTTCTACTATGCTCAAGTACATCCATTTAGAAATGGATTGGCTAGCAAATCAGGTCCACTTTCCAATATTAAGCATTTGAAGATTCTGTCTCTCAAACTCAGGGATTAACCTTGAGAGGCGTGCCTGCTCAAGGGGAGATCGCTGCCATGCAGCTCCCTGCTCCAGCAAGGAGACCTCAAAGCTTTCCACAGGCTGTCCATGTTTGTAGAGTGAAATAGTTGGCTGCTAGTCAGTAGTATAGACAAGACAGATGTCTCAGCTTAGCTCTGATAACTTGCTCTATACTTTTGGTTATCTTGCACCTTTGGGTTTTAAAACCAATTTTTGAAACATTTTTCAAAGCACTTTCATCCCTTGTACATGAGCCAGGGGCTTTCCAGCTCCCAAGTTCACCCCAAGGGCATGAGGCCTGTTCCTTCTTGGTCAGCCTAAACCAAAGTACACCTGGGAGTCAAGTGTAATCATCACATTCTCCCATTGCTGCAGGGTAAGCCTGAGAAAATCCAAATATGCTATATTTATGCTCTTGCAACTTAAGAATACAAGTAAAATCAATATTTCTACTAATTTTTAGACACAAAGCATTGGAACAGGCAGTGTGGCTTTGCACAAGACAAAACTAGGTAGCAGATAAAGCAAAGTGTGAGGAAGTCTGGGGGTGGTTCCAAGTCATAAGACTAGACTTTTCTAAAATGAGATTGGTTGAATCTGCTCTAAAGTAGAAGTAGCCTTTTTCCATTCTGTTTTTTGGTTGGGTTTTTTTTTGTGCTTAGTTTTTGCTAAGCTACATTTAGTTCTTAAATTTTTCATTTGTGGCTTTTTTTCCCCACACCAAAGAGGAAGGCACTTGAAACAAATTCTTCTCATGACAGTTTCACTACTGTGTAACTGCGTAGTTCACATTAAGTTTCTCCTGATTTAAACTAAAGTAATTAGACTAGTTCTTACAGATCTCATGTCTAAGCAGCCAAAAGCATCTCTTTTCTGACCCTCATCCTCAAATCTCCAGCATGTGTGATTTCTTCCCATGACATA